ATATATATATATATATATATATATATATATATATATAATATATATATATATATATATATATATATATATAATATATATACAGGCACACTTACATGTAAACTGATAACCCACGAAGACTTGAACAGACTTCAAGACAGGTCCAGGAAGTGACTGGTCGAGTCTAATAGACAGCGTAATGAAGACGTTAGCTGAGGTACTGGAGAGACAACCGTCAAGGAAGGAGCTCCTGGCATTGGACAAGACACAGCACCTAACATCTCCCGAGACACACACGAACTTGATCACTCCAAGAAATTCAGAACACTGCCCTACCTAATCGATGTCAAGCATCAAATCTACAGTTGTTGTATTTCACGCAACGCCAAACCATGTGGGTCATACAGCGCAAGGAATAGCGAAGGTTCGAATCTCCCGACCGCTAATTGCGGCGCAGCAACTGATCAATCACGCTATTAGTAATCTGCAGCACAGAAAGAGAGCTCTAATCTAGTCATGTACATAGGCTCGTGATAGTTTTTTGCCTGAGCACCACAATGGTCAAGAAGATGCGGTACATCAGCTGTAAGGAGAGGCTAGAGTGTTTGAATTTCATGTCGTTGAAGGATTAAAGTGACAGGAGAGACATGGTCACAACGTACAAGATACTCATGGGGCTTGAGAGATTAGACAATGACAGTGTTTGACACAGAATCGGGGGACGGTAAAGATGGACGTTAAAGATTCAAATTACCCAATGAGAAGTCAGTAAAAATATTCTTAGAATTAGTGTTGTAAAAGAGAGAGAGAGAGAGAGAGAGAGAGAGAGAGAGAGAGAGAGAGAGAGAGAGAGAGAGAGAGAGAGAGAGAGAGAGAGAGAGAGAGAGAGAGAGAGAGAGAGAAAGAGAGAGAGAGAGGGGGGGGGGGAGGGGGGGAGCTCACTAAATACATTCAAAAGTAAAAACGGGAATAACTTAAAAAGTTAGCACCATCTGAATGAAGGTGAAAAAGGCGGGACCAGGAGCTGCAGCTCAAACCCCATAAGTCCCAAGTGTACACTGACACATACACAATACACAGCTGAATTTAAAAGACACCAATGAGTCAGTGATGTCAGGAAGTATTTCTTCAGCCTCTAGGCTGTCAGGAAGTAATTCTTCATCCTCTAGGCTGTCAGGAAGTATTTCTTCAGCCTCTAGGCTGTCAGGAAGTAATTCTTCATCCTCTAGGCTGTCAGGAAGTATTTCTTCAGCCTCTAGGCTGTCAGGAAGTGGAGTGACATGGACGAAGAAATAATGGAGACAGACTCCATGCATAGTAAGAGAGAGTAAATTCAACAAGTGGCAAGAGGCGGGGCCAGGAGCCGAGACTCAACCCCTGCCACCACAAATAGACGGGTACAAGCACAAGGGGGATGAAACGGATATTTATTCCGACGAATAACGATAAACCAAATAAACTAATGGGACTGAAACGTTAAAAACTAAACGACGATAAAAAAAAGCCCAGAAGTAACGCCGGTTACATCTTCAGAAAGATAACAGTTGGGTATGAAGAAAGGGAGCATAAACCAAAGCCTCATTTCGCACAACGTTTCGCTCATGGTAGTGCCATATGCAGCCTCTTAGACTTCACAACTCAAGGGCGAAAAGTTTGCTGTATAATACGTGTGTTTATCGACTCGTTGCCTCAGACGCCATGAAAACACCTGTGAAGCATCCATACAAGTGAGTATCATCTACGTGGCAGCTACCTCCTTCGTTACTACAGGTGTGTAGCTTGACAGGAGTATAGTTTGACAGATGTATAGCTTGACGGATGTATAGCTTGACAGGTGTGTAGCTTGACAGATGTATAGCTTGACAGGAGTATAGCTTGACGGATGTATAGCTTGACAGGTGTGTAGCTTGACGGATGTATAGCTTGACAGGAGTATAGCTTGACAGATGTATAGCTTGACAGGTGTGTAGGTTGACAGATGTATAGCTTGACAGGTGTGTAGCTTGACAGATGTATAGCTTGACAGATGTGTAGCTTGACAGGAGTGTAGCTTGACAGGTGTGCAGAGTGTTAGGAGTATAGCTTGACAGATGTATAGCTTGACAGGTGTGTAGCTCGACAGATGTATAGCTTGAAAGGTGTGTAGCTTGACAGGTGTGAAGCTTCACCACACCATCTACACCCAGGAGCTCGTCAACACCTGCATCCCTACTACATTTTCCTTCAGTTTTTACGTTATCGAATCGTTTAATATATGACACACAGATGTATATTTATTTATAAAAAATATATACATATAGATATGCATTTATATGTATGTATATGCACATATAGAAATAATATGTGCAATATACCCCATAGGTTATGATAGTTAAATCTGTGCCATATAGCTGAATAGTGACATATAGCTGAATAGTGATTTATTAAGACGACCTACTTGCTGCTGACCTATTGGGCCATCAGGTGACTTCTGCCTGAACTATCAGGTGACTGAGCCATTAGTTGGATTCTTAGGCTTAGGTGAGTTGAATGATCAGGCTAAAAGTCTATCCATTAGGTGATTGTTTGGGGGTATTAGGTGACCTTACTTGATCATCAGGTGACGTCTTGGAATCTAAGGTGACTTTCTGGACCCCTCAAGTGACTTCCTGGACCATGTTGCAACCATCACTGATTACCAGTATGACTTATCTCTCATAGTGACACTCGTAACTCAGAGTGGCCCTTCAGGCTGGCCTCCTAGCACAAGTCTTGACCTCTGAAATTCATGACTTCCACATCTGGTTGGCCTCCTAGCACAAGTGTTTACCTCTGAAGTTCACGGTGACCTCCACACCTTGTGGTCACATTTTCACTTCCCTCCCCCCACACCTGTAACACCTGCCGTCCCTGCAGCTGGGTAGACTGTCCTCGAAATTAGCTTTTAGCTTGCGACTCTGTCGTAAGTGTTAACCCGGCCATCATTTCCCTAAGATATAATAAGCTTGGTTTACCGGGTTTAAAACCTGTCGGCTACATAACGGTCATTAAGGCCACTTAATTCCCAGAAAAAGAATATACTTTAAACCCTCTGCGTATATATGCTGAGAGACATACGCTTTATGGTGCATTGTATCTGTGCTCCAGTTCCCCGAATTAAGCCTGAATGCCTTCCACATCCCCCCCCCTGGCGCTGTATAATCCTCCGGGTTTAGCGCTTCCCCCTTGATTATAATAATAATTATGAAAGCTTACGACAATATACACTAGGCATAAAGTACCGATTAGTTACGTAGATTATATCCTAGCATAACTCTACGTTTTAATAGGCTAAATTAGGTTCATTTATTTTAACTAAACCTAACCCAACCTTAAACAAATAGAAACTACCCCTAAGAAAACCTAACTTAACGTAACGTAACCTAAACGGGGAGGATGTAACTCAAGCAGTGTAACATGTTGGAAAATACAGTATATTGTATTCTGTGATCACGATGGCAGGATGCACTAGCCTCACACCACTGTATAAGCAGGAGTATAAACATATACATGTGTGTGTGTGTGTGTGTGTGTGTGTGTGTGTGTGTGTGTGTGTGTGTGTGTGTGTGTGTGTGTGTGTGTGTGTGTGTGTGTGTGTGTGTATTCTGATTAAAGTATTCTTGACTGGTGGTGAACAGGTGACATGCAGCCTTAATGACCCTCGTGTAGTCAGTAGGCTTTAAGTCCGGTTAACCAACCAATCATACGCCTATACTTTATGCAGGTGTATATGTATATTATTGAGGCAGATGTATATGTATATGCTTGAGGCAGGTATACTCTTAATTAAGGCAGGTGTTTATGCATATTCACCAAAAAAATATAATGCTGTATTAAGTAGTAAACTTGACGTGAACCTTCTATATAAAAGAGAATGGTATTAATGTTTAGCATTTTAGTGCCAAAAAAAGTACTTACGTTACTTACAAACACGGGAATGTTACCTCCATCTTGGGATAACACGCTATGAACGAGATCTACGCCATTGAGGAAGAGCAAGGAATGAAGAATGTAGACAGACGAAGAAAGAATTATGAAGCAGACAGGTTTATCAGTTGCCAAAATAGCTAGATCATCCTAGATGATCTCAGACCGAGATAAGAGTAAAGTAGTATTCTATCTTTTTTGCATTGTAAATATGTTTAGAATGCCTCAGAAGCTTGTATTAAACGCCATCTATGAATCAAACTTAACTTTATCGAGAGTCTAGATTCATACCTGGAGGACCTTAGGAAAGACGTGACTGAAACAATCAAAACAAACATCTCGTGTGTTCAGTTCAGGGTAGATTTCAGGCGTGTAACATATATAATAGTTATTTTCTTATCTTCACGATTAATCCTCGAGGGTAACAAGGTCGTGCCCGGGGGCACAGCCGTGAGACCTGGGTATATATGTGTGTATGGGGCTGCCATCAGGACGCCGGCCAGCGCTAGGGCAGGCCCTGGCGCAAGAGCAGGCCCTGGCGCTAGGGCTCTACAATAATCCAATCTTGACCCTCTTGTACTTCCTCAAGATCCAACTTTGTCTTACGTTTTACTTTAGGGTCAAAATTGTCATATAAATATATACATATAAATATATAAAAAAAGAAAAATATTTTTTCGAGATTAATCTGACGTGTAAATTGTAAAAGATGTATATATCATTGGTAAAATATGGCCCTCAATCTTGTTACAAAATGTTGAGAGGGTTCTTGTCTCCTATGGATTCTATATTGTAAATCAGAGATTTTATATATATCAGGTTTGAAGCCTTTTTAATAGACAAGCTTATGTTTTATATGCAGTAGGTTGAGTGTCACCGCGAATGTCGAAGGAGAGATGATGAGGTGATTCTTGATACATTTCCTTTGTTTACACACGATTAGTTGCCTTGATGTTGTTAATAGATGTTATTAATATATTAGAAGAGTCGGGTAATGTATTGTGAACTAAAAAAAAGCATTATAGCAGACGTTACTAGTAGGCAAGTGTGGACACAACAGCCATAAAGTTGTGACGGGG